TAAAGAGCTATATAAAAAGAGTGGCTATTTTTAATGTCTATTTTACCCTTATTTGTAGGCTTCATTTTTAGATACAATTGGGAAATTAATTGCGAAGTTCTAATTTTCCCAAAATTATTAGAGATTGCTCATTGTTAGTCAAAATATTTAAGAGTTGGACATATCATTTACAGTTGTTCCAAACTCCAGGCCCCAGGCTGTAAATCAGAAGATTCATTTATATAGTGTTTATCATTTCTTCAAGTTGTGACATACATTCCTTTGGTATTTTTCTATTCAAATGATTTATTTTCAAATGATTGTTTCTAGCCAGTAATATATTTAAACATGCAGTATACAGTTTGTATTTTGTAAATCATGAAAATTTAAAATACACTGAAAAGTATAGTGCACATACTTTTTTATATATGTTATATATCCTTCTGTAGTATATATAATATCATTTGAAAGTTGTGTATATTACTGAGGTTTAGTAAAACTTAACACTTTGCTATATTTCTTGCAGCAGTACAAGCTCCAGCTCTGCTCACCTTAGTGTAAGATGAACATGGTGTACAGGGTTCCACCCTATATTTAGTCGCAACAGCAGGATTTTCCTAGGACTTTTTTTTTTTTTTTTTTTTTTTTCTGTATGAACTTGCTCTTGCTTCCAGATTGTAGCTGCTCTAGCACTGAGGTGGGGATATCTGGAAGGAGAAATGGCAAACAAACAAAAACCTCACAAATCTAGGGAATGCACTACTGGGCCATCCCTTGAGTTCCGAACTCATTGCTTTTTACCTGTAGGACATTGTTCTAAAATTTCTCCTCTCATCAATTTTTCCCTTTCTACTAAATTTATGTTTATGCCAATCAGTATAAAAACATGCTGCTTCTCTCCATTTAAAAAGTAGTTCACCCTAAAAGACAACCTAATGAATGGGAGAAGATATTTACAAATGACATATCTGATAAAAGATTAGTATCCAAAATATAAAAGAACTTATACAACTCAACACCTGAAAAACAAATAATCCAATTAAAACATGGGCAGAACACATGAATAGACATTTCTACGAGGAAGACATATGATGGCCCACAGACACATGAAAAGATACCAGCATCACTGATCATCAAGGAAATGCAAATCAGAGCCACATTGAGTTATCACCTCATATCTGTCAGAATGGCTAAAATCAACATCACAAGAAACAATAGGTGTTGGCGTGGATGTGGAGAAAAAGAAGCCCTTGTGCACTGTTGGTGTGAATACAAACTGATGTAGCCAATGTGAAAAACAGTATGGAGTTTCCTCAAAAATTTAGAAATTGAATTACCATATGATCTAGTAATTCCACTTCTGGGTTTTTACCCAAGTAATATGAAAATACTAATTCAAAAAGATATATGTATCCCTACATTTATTGCAGCATTATTTACAATAGCCAAAGTATGGAAGCAGCCCAAGGGTTCCACTGATAGAAGAATGGGTAAAGATATGGTGTGTTTGTACAGTTGCATATTATTCAGCCATAAAAAGGAGTGAAATCTTGTCATTTGCAACAGCATGGATGGATCTAGGGAGTATAATGCTAAGTGAAATAAGTCAGCCAGAGAAAGACAAATACCACATGATTTCACTCATATGTGGAATTTGAGAAATAAAACAATGAACAAAGGAAAAATAAAAAGAGACAAACTAAAAAAAGACAAATAAAAACAGACTCAACTATAGAGAATGAACAAACTGATCTTTACCAGTGGGAAGGTGGGGGAGGGTGGAATAAATGTAATGGATTAAGAGTGCATGCAGCTTGATGAGCGCTGAGTAATGTAGAGTACTGTTGAATTACTATATTGTACACCTGAAACTAAAACTGTATGTTAAGTATACTGGAATTTAAAAGAAGTAGTTTTCTCACCTCTCTTGATCACACTTATTCCTCCTGATACTTTGTCATTACTCATTAATTATGATAACATAATAAATTGATTGTAGTCAAACAGGACTTCCTGTTTTATACCATAATGAAGTAGTTCATTAAAGTAGTACAAAAACTTATTTTCAAATTGTGTACATTTGCATAAACTTGATACTTTACATTTTAATGTTTTTTGTTATGTACTGTATTTGGCTAAGAAGTTCAGAGTAAATTTCAGCATTGAGATACATGTTTTTAGTGCCAGGTAATTATTCATTGAGACTCCCCTAAAAACATACCAACGTGATATTTAAAAATGATAGGGGGAGAAATAGATCATCTCCTGGTTAAGTGGAAAATTGCACGGTTGGCTTCTGGAGGAATTTGGTTCTAAGCAGCTTTAAAACAAACCATTTGGTTAGGACCACAAATTTTATTCAGTTTATAGTAATTAACATTCACTGACAGGTACTCTTATTAGTCATGTGAATTGAATAATACTCCTACTAATTTTCTTCCAGGATTAAGATTTATTTTTTTAGCTCAGGTCCCATTAGGATTGATCATTAACATATATATGTTGTACTGATCCTGTTCTTCCAAATCAAATGAATTAGAAAGAATAGTAAAATCAAAGTTGAATGCCTGGCCAAGAATTTGATGGGATAGGATTGTGCCACGGACCTAGGGTCCGTAGAGGCAGAAGAATGGGGGTACTGCAGCCACTGCTCATGGCTATGAAGTGTCCCTTGTTACCAGTCCTTACCTCCCAGAGCAGTCTACTCCTGACTTCTTAATACTTAACTTTCATGCTAGAAAAAAGTAAATAGAATTATGCAGATTCTTGAAACTAATTTTGCAGTGCTTACATTTCCTCAGTCATATTTTTCCTTCATTTTGAATAGATATTACCTTTCCACAGTATTGCAATCTTGCCTCTGAACCCCTGCCAGCTGGAACTGACCAGGCTGATCACTATTCTCTTTTTTAAACAACATATTTACTTGACTCCCATGACACTAAATTCTGGTTTTATTCCTATCTCATAGGTTGCTATCTCTGCCTCCTGAGGATCGGTTATTTACACTGGCGTGCCTCAGGGCTTATTTCTTGCACCTCTTCTCTATTTGTAGTTGGTGATTTCCCGGCTTCAGGGTTTCAGATCTCATCTAAAATGTTGATAATTTGCAAATTGTTATCTACTAAACAAGGTCCTAAGCTCGAAATTGGAAATTCAATAAGTGGCTCAACCTTCACATTTTCAAAACTTACTCCTAAAGTTTCTTCCAACTCCCCCAAAATAAAACCTAGTTTTCTTAATCATCTCAGTTAATGCCGACATTTTGTGTGGTCGCAGGTCAAAAAAGCTTCACCTTTCTTTCTTTCAAATGCTACATCCCATCATTCAGCTAATCCTGTGTGTTGAATGCTACCAAACACATTCTGAATGTCTGGCCTTTTCTTGTTAACGTCCCCTGCTAGTACCCTCGCCACCATCACCTGTGGCCTGTTTCTTACAACGTCCCCTGCTAGTACCCTCGCCACCATCACCTGTGGCCTGTTTCTTAACGTCCCCTGCTAGTACCCTCGCCACCATCACCTGTGGCCTGTTTCTTACAACGTCCCCTGCTAGTACCCTCGCCACCATCACCTGTGGCCTGTTTCTTACAACATCGCTTTTTACGAGATTCATAGTTAAGACTTTTTTTTTTTTTTCTTTAATGAGAGTTTTGTACTTGTTTCTTCTGCCTGGATTGCATTTTCTTCAGTAAACTCTGCAGCTTATATTACTAATGTCTTTCATCTTTAAATGTTCCTTCTCAAAATTCCAACCAAACTCCTACCCTGACAGCAGTGTCTCTCCTTTTCATTGATTTATTATTCTCCAAAACACTTACTGTCATCTGTTATACTATATACCTAAGTTATTTATTTATTTCTAATGTCCATCCAATAGGATATAAGAGACATGAGGAGAGAAATTTTAATCATTTATTACTGTGTCTCCAGTGCCTAGAATATACTGGCCTATTGATTTTACCTTTGCAGTTTCTGGCAGTCAGATGAAAACTGGAAATATTACCTATTGCACAATTCTCATTATCTCACATAAATTCTGAGAAAGATGAAATGTTGTCTTACACTAAATTATGAGAAATGTATAAGGTGGATCTTATAAAATATATGTAGTAAGCAACATATAAAGAATGATGCCTTGATAATTTTAACAATAATTTCAGTGATATTATTCCTATCTTTACTTTTTATTTTAATAGTGTTTAATGGCTGAGGGCATAACATGAAAGGTATGTATCCAAAAAACAGAAGTCATCTCTATTTAAAATAATTTGAAATATTTTTTGTAAAGGTGGCAGTTTAACATTAATGAATAATTCTTCACTCTTGTATAACATATGAAGCTACTCATGATATATAACCCTCACATGTTTCACCTTGGTTTCAACATTATACATGAACAAATTAAAAATTGTTTACCCGGATTTCTTTTTGTCAATTATTAATGAATTACTTATGTAGAATGATGTTTATCACTGAGTCATTTTTAAATGGCTAAAGGTAAAAATTACCGCAATAATAAAGGAAAAAATAAATTCATTAGAATATGGGATGAAATATTATTTATATATTAATGCTCATGTTTTGAAAGAATTTTGATTTTTTTGAAATTAGAGTACCAAAATGTCTGCCTGTCTATTTTTCTATCTACAAAATTTTAACTGGAATCAAATGCACCAAAATGTTGCCTGTATTTTTCTCTAGTTTTAAGGTTATGGTTGACTTTTTCATTTCTTTTCACATTTGTGTACTTTCCAGAATATGTATTCTGTTTGTAGAACTTTTGTAATGACCAGAGAAGTAATAAGTACAATTTTTAAAGAATTAGAATTTCTTCCATAACTGTATTTTGCTTTTTGTTGCTTGATAACAAAGATATATATATTTGTAGTCTTGAATGGGCCACTAATAATTAATAATAATTATTTTTAATACTCATAAACAGTATGTTTCCACCTAACTTTTCTTTATCGGTTTGTGAAAGTGCATACACCAGGATTGTATTTTTTTTTTCCCCCACAGACAGCCTTTTGATTGACTATCAGTTTACCTTCAGCTTATTACAGGAAGATGATCGCCACCATACTGCCATAAACTTCATAGCGAACCCAGAACAGGTGAGAAGATAATTTAACTTTTATAATATAATTATATTAATATCGTGGGATACAAATTTTTTGTTATTTTTCTATTGTAATTTTAACCTGTTCTCAGAATTACTTCATTGCAGGGCTTTTGAAGAAAGACTAATCATGTTAAATTTTTTTTTTGTAAAATTTATGTATCTTTGTGATTGAGGGAGTTTGTGTGTTTGATATTTCAGATCTGCCAACAGCCCTACAACTTAAATTATATGTTTTAGTTATTTTTTCAGTCTCATGACAGTGTTTGTGCTTATAATTATGCTCTTAAACTGGAGGTAACCTTATCTGAAAATAAAAGCCGTAAATTCAAAACATGCTATATTAAATATGTTATTTTTCTTATACATTGTTGCACAGTAGTAGATTTTCCACTGTCTTTTCTTAAATCCTCTGATTTATCTAAGTTAGATGCCTCCTAGATTCTTTTTTAATCATTTTTATTGAGATATAATTGACATATTACATTATGTAAGTTTAAAGTATATATAACAGGTTGCTTTGATACATTTATATATATTGCAATATTATTACCATGGTAGCATCAGCTAACACCTCTATTATATCACATAATTATCGTTTCTTTTTTGTGGTGGGAATAATTAAAATCTAGTCTCTTAGTGACATTGAAGTATATAATTCAGAATTATTGTCTATGTTAACTACGCTGTGCATTTGATCTCTGGAACTTATTTATTTACTGTTTGCAAGTTTTTTTCCTTAAACAGCATGTTCCCAATCCTGCCCAACCCTCAGCCCCAAGGGCTTTTATGAGTTTGGCTTTTCTAGATTCTACATATAAATGATATCATTACAAGTATTTGTCTTTCTTTGACTTAGCTCATTTAGCATTATGGAATACTTGTTTCTTTGAACAATTTACTGCATCAGTGATATAATTATAAAAGTTTGTGAAGTTTAAATGTATGAAAGATTAATTGTAAGTCATCACAGAAAAAGGCTCAAAGTTTGGAAGTAACACACATCTATTCCTATCCATCTGAGATTGTATAAAGTTTAAAAGTCAAGGGAATAGAAGTATCAATCATACAGTTTATTTGGATAGAATTTTAGTTCTTTTGAAACTGAAAATAACTCTTTCAAAATGAAGATGTTAAAAAATGAAGATGGTAATGAAATATTTGAATTATTCTTTTTTGTTTACTGTGCTTAGAACTGTTAACATGAGATCTAATCTCCTAAAAAGTTTTTAAGAGTACAGTACAGTGTTGTGAACCCTAGACACTGTATTATACAGAGTAGACCTGATTCTTGCATAGCTGAAATTTTATATCTGTGTATATATATATCTATATATATCTATATATATCTGTATATATATATATCTGTATTCAGATATCTGTATATAATGAGGAGTAACTCCTCATTATCCCACTTCCACCCCTACCCCACCTCTGGCAATTACCAGTCTTTTCTCTTTATCTATGAGATCTGGGTTTGGTTTGGTTTAAATTACACATATAAGTGAGATCATACAATATTTGTCTTTTTCTGTCTGGCCTATTTCACTTGGTCTAGTGCCCTCACGGTCTCTTCATGTTGTTGCAAATAGCAAGATTTTCTTCTTTTTTATGGCAGAAAATTATTCCATTGTATATGCATACCACAATTTCTTTGTGTTTTCATCCAGTGATGGACACTTACATTGTTTCCATATCTTGGGTGTTGTATATTGCAATGAACATGGAGCACATATATCTCTTTGAGGCAGTATTTTCATTTTCACTGAGCAAACATCCAAAAGTAGAATTGCTGGCTCATATGGTAGTTTTATCTTTAAATTTTTCATAAATTTCCATATTCTTTTCCATATTCTTTTCCATAGCATCTGCACTAATTTACATTTCCACCAATAGTAAGGGTCTCCTTTTTTTCACATCCTCACCAACACTTGTTATTTCTTGTTTTTTTGTTTTGTTTTGTTTTGTTTTTGTTTTTGTTCTTGTTTTTTTTGGTAATAACCATTCTAACCTGTGTGAGGGGATATCTCATTATGGTTTTGATTTGCATTTCCCTGATAAATAGTAATGTTGAGTACCTTTTCTTGGGCATCAGTGTGTTTTCATTAGAATAAGTCACAGGAATAAAAGATACAATAAGGGAACATAGTCAATGATTTTGTAATAGCATCATATGGTGACAGAAGGTAGCTGCACTTGTGGTGAACATAGCATATAGAGATGTTGAATCAGTATGTTATACGCCTGAAACTAATGTAACATTGTTTGTCAAACTGGACTCAAAGTTTTTAAAAGCCTATTCAGATCCTTTGTCCACTTTATATTTTTATTTTTTAATTTTTTTCAAGTTTTAATTTAAATTCTGATTGGTTAACATACAGTGTAATGTTAGTTTCAGGTGTAGAATTTAGAGATTCATCACTTACATACAACACCTAGTGCTTATCATAAGTTCCCTCCTAATACCCATCACCTATTTACTCCATCCCTCAGCCCACCTCCCCTGTAATAAACCTGTTTATTCTCCGTAGTTAAGAGTCTGTTTTCTGGTTTGCCTCTCTCTCTTCCTGCTCCCTCCCCACCCCTTGTTCGTCTGTTTTGTTTCTTGAATTCCACATGTGAGTGAAATCATACGGTATTTTTCTTTCTCTGACTTATTTTGCTTATATAATGATATCTAGCTCTATCTACATCATTGCAAATGGCAACGTTTCATTCTCTTTTATTACTGAGTAATAATTCCATTGTATATATTTGTACCACAGCTGCTTTCTCCATTCATCAGTCAGTGGACATTTGGGCTCTTTCCATTATTTGGCTGGCTATTGTTGATAATGCTGTTGTAATATTGGGGTTCATGTGCCCCTTTGAATCAGTATTTTTGTATCCTTTGGGTAAACACCCGGTAGTGCAATTTCTGGGTCATAGGGTAGCTCTATTTTTAACTTTTTGAGAAGTATCCGTACTATTTTTCAGAGTGATTGGACCAGTTTGCATTACCACCAACAGTGTAAGAGGGTTCCCCTTTCTCCGCATTCTCGCCAATACCTGTTGTTTCCTGTATTGCTGATTTTAGCTATTCTGACAGGTGTGAGGTGATATCTAATTGTAGTTTTGATTTGTATTTTACTGATGATGAGTGATATTGAGCATCTTTTGATGTGTCTGTTAGCCATCTGTATATCTTTTTTGGAGAAATGTCTATTCATGTCTTCTGTTCATTTCTTAACTGGATTATTTGGTTTTGGGTGTTGAGTTTGATAAGTTATTTATGGATTTTGGATACTAACCCTTTATCAGAGATGTCATTTGCAGATATCTTCTCCCATGCAGTAGGTTGCCTTTTAGTTTTGTTGATTGTTCCCTTTGCTGTACAGAAGCTTTTTATCTTGATGAAGTCCTGGTAGTTTCTTTTTGCTTTTGTTTTCCTTGCCTCCCGAGAGATCACTAGTAAGAAGTTGCTGTGGCTGATGTCAAGGAGGTTACTGCTTGTGCTCTCTTTTAGGATTCTGATGGATTTCTGTCTCATATTTAGGTCTTTCATCCATTTTGAATTTATTTTTGTGTGTGGTGTGAGAAAGTGGTCCAATTTCATTCTTCTGCATGTTGCTGTCCAGTTTTCCCAACATTCTTTGTTGAAGAGACCATCTTTTTTCCATGGATATTCTTTCCTGCTTTGTTGAATATTAGTTGACCATAGTGTTGTGGGTTCATTTCTGGGTTTTCTATTCTGTGTGTCTGTTTTTGTGCCAGTACCATGCTGTCTTGATCACTACAGCTTTTTGGTATAGCTTGAAGTCCAGAAGTGTGGTGCCTCCAGGTTTCCTCCCCTCCCCCGCAAGAGTGCTTTGGCTATTTGAGGGTCTTTTGTAGTTCTGTACAAATTTTAGGATTGTTTGTTGTAGCTCTGTGAAAAATGTTGTTTGTATTTTGATAGGGATTGCATTAAATGTGCAGATTGCTTTGGGTATTTTAAAAATACTTGTTATAAGCAATGAGCATAAAAAGTTTTTCCATTTCTTTGTGTCATCTTCAATTTCTTTCATAAATGTTCTCTGTTTTCAGAGTACAGATCTTTTACCTCTTTGGTTAGGTTTATTCCTAGGTATCCTATGGTTTTTGTGGTGTAATAGTCAGTGGGATTGATTCCTTGACTTCTCTTTCTGCTTTTCATTATTAGTGTATAGAAAAAAAACAGATTTCTGTATGTTCATTTTATATTTTGCAACTCTACTGAATTCATGTATCAGTTTTAGCAATTTTTTGGTTGACTCTTTCAGTTTTTCTGTATATAGTATCATGTCATCTGTAAATAGTGAAAGTTTGATTTCTTCCTTGCTGATTTGGATACCTTTTATTTCTTTGTTGTCTTATTGGTGGCCTAAGACTTTCAATACTATGTTAAATAACAGTGGTGACAGTGGACATCTCTCTTGTTCCTAACTATAGAGGAAAAATTGCCAGTTTTTCTCCATTGAGGATGATATTAACTATAGGTTTTTCATATGTAGCCTTTGTTATGTTGAGGTATGTTCCATTTAAACCTACTTTGTTGAGGGCTTTTATCATGAATGAATGTTTTATTTTGTTAAATGCTTTTTCTGCATCTATTGAAATGATCCTGTGGTTTTTATCCTTTGTTTAATTAATAATCATATTGATTAAGTTGTGAATATTGAGCCACACTTGTAGCCCAGAAATAAATCCCACTGATCATGGTAAATAATTTTTTTAACGTATTATTAGATTGGTTTACTAGCATTTTATTGAGAATTTTTGCAGCTATTTTCATTAGAAATATTCACCCTGTAGCCTTCTTTTTTTGTGGAATCTTTATCTGGTTTCAGTGTCTGGGTTGGTGGCCTCACAGAATGAATTTGGAAGTTTTCCTTCCTTTTCTGTTATTTAGAATAGTTCAAGAAGAATGGGTATTAACTCTTTTTTACATGTTTGTTAGAATTTATCTGTGAACCTCTCTGGCCCTGGATTTTTGTT